CAGGAATGATAAAAGAAACAAATAGGTAAAGCGGATTTCATCAAAAATGAAAACTCCTGTGCATCAAAGGACACGCTCAAGAAAGTGAAAAGACAACCCATGAAAGGGGAGAAAATATTTCAAATCATTTGATAAGGGCCAAGGCTCCAAAGCATATAAAGTATTCTGAGACGCCAAGGACAAAAACACTGACAACCCACTTTAAAAATGGGTTTAAAATATCCCCCCCCCCCCCCCACCAAAAAAGTAAGAACAGACAAAAAGAACAGACTTTTCCCGGAATAGAGTTCTAAACAGACTTGGCTGACATCCGTGTGGCTTTTTTTGGTTTCATTTCCCCTCCGGAATATGCACTTTTGACAATTAACATATTGCTTTAAACAACAACAACAACAGCTTTGTGTAATAGGTCACATTTTATCTGTTCATATTGAAAAATCTCACAATGGCGGCCCCTCCATCAGGTTATGAGGATCCTGGTAGAATTGGGATTTCTCATTAGATTTTTAAATATTCACAGACAAAATGTGCCCTATTAGAAAAATAATGTACTGTAAAGAGCACTTATCCTAAATGACACGCGAAATTAAAGCTTAAGAATAGATGGGACGCAATTTTGTTTAAAACCGTATGCCTGGAAATGTGTATTCATCCTTTTTTGGTCCGTTTTTAAATTGAATTCTCGGTTTTGGGGTTGCTGTGTCTTAAAATCGTTTTACGTGTTTTGGACGTGATCCCGGGGTCGTGCTGTCTCACGAACATCTTTTTGTGAAAGTTGCGGGACTGGGTCCTTTCTTTAGATGTCCGTCCTGCTCTGGGCATGTTTCCTCCTCCGTGAGCTAGTGAGGACATAAGCTGGCTGAGTGGTGATCGCTCATGCCCCGGCCCCCGGCGTACTTGGCGTGTTCCCCTTTCTCTCCCCAGGCTCTGAGGAACCAGAATCCAGCCTGGTGCATGTCTACCTGCTGGTGGTCCTGGGGACCTTCGTCTGTGGCCTGACCGTCAGCTGCCTTTTCAAAAGGTAACCCCAGGTCGTCCTAGGTGGGCATCCCCGTGGTCAGCGGAGGGGGCCGGTGTTTATTCCAAAGGCAGCCCCAATCGGCTGGCAAAAAAGAGAGGGCAGCCTGCCAACATCCCAGGCAGTCCTAGCAGCCAATTGGCCTGTGGGTTTTCTGGAGGAAAACTTGTCTGGAAAAAGGGAAGGAAGTTGGAGAGATGGAAAAACACACAGGAGAGAAACAGCTCTGATGTTGCATCCGTCAGTGGCAGGCGAGCTGGCAACCAACAAGGGTCTTTCCTGCCCCCAGACTCCTGCCGGGCACCCCTCCCAGCCCTGCTGTGCTCAAAGCTCTGCCTTCCTTCAGCCCCTCGGAGCTTCTGGAGTTCTCAGAATGTCTCTCCTCCTCTGACTTTCACTTCCCCCAGCACACGTTATTCAGCCCCGTGCTCTCAGAGCACTGCAGTCAGCCTGTCCACGGGCCCCTCTGCAGTCATCCTTCCTGTTGTGTGACCCAGGCATCACGCAGGGTCTGTGGCCACCGGGCAAATGCTTTGCAATGAAGCATGAACATGCGGACTAAAGTTGCATGCGTGTGGCATGACGCACTCTGCAAAGCACGGGGAGACTTTGCACCTGGAGACCCTCCTGCAGGATGTGGGGATGCTGTGGGCATCCACCTGCGGCCCCTGTCCTGATGCCCCTGTCCTGGTTGGGCGTCCTGTGCCAAATGTCCCCCAGGACCAGGCGAGACACTGGTCTGCCCTGTGAAAGCACCTGCGAGGCACCCCTGTTCCCAGGGACACTGGACCTGGGAGCAAAGAGGCGTTTGGGCAGCCCGGCCACTGGCTGTGGTGACAGGGACAGATCTCATGCCTTACACGGAAGACTTATCTTAAAGAAAAGCTGTGTGAGTTTCCTGTAGCTGCCGGAACCAGTGACCACAAGCCAGAGGCTTAAAACAACAGGAATCCATCCTCCCCCATCCTGGAGACCAGACCTCTGAGGTCAAGGTGTCTCAGGGTCACGTTCACTCCAGAGGCTCCAGGGGAGGTTCCTTCCCGCCTCTTCCAGCTTCTGGGGGCTCCAGGCGTCCCTGGGCTCGTGGCCGCCTCCCTCCCGTCTCTGCCTCCGTCTTCCCGGGGCTTCTCCTCTGTGTCTCGGTCTCTCCTCTTCTGTGTCTTAGAAGGACCCTGTCACTGGATGCAGGGCCACCCTCCTCCAGGAGGACCTCAGCTCAGACCCTTCACTTCATCACACCTGCAAAGAGCCCGTTTCCACATAAACTCCCGCTCCCAGGTTTCAGGGGTCAGGAGTTGAATATATCTTTGGAGGCTACCTTTCAACTCGGTACAACCTCTCCTGATGATGTCACAGGATTGGAGGTACCATTCGTGCGGTGAGAAAGAAAATAAACGCCCCTGTGAACATGCAGCAGGACTGGGGTGCTGCGGGACCATGGAATATGCTGGTTAAGAGATAGCATTGAAAACACGTGACATCCACAGAAGGCGACCCAATCTGGAACCGTGGGCTTCAAGGTTGGATAAGCCTCCTGGTCTTTAAACACCAGAGACCCCAGACTCCTCCAAGCTGCCGGAGACTGGACATGTCCCCCACTCCCATCCCTGTGTCCAAGGGAGTGAGTGAAGCTTCTAGAAAGACCCTCACAGAGTCTATCATTTTCTCCATGGTCTAAGCCTGGAGTTGGTCCTTCTCTGATTCTTAAAGGAAATTGTTCTGAAGAAATGAGCCTGCGTGGCGTGTTTGCACGTGACATGACAACATGTCCCCTTTGGGTGCAAGAAGGAAACTGGGCGTCTCGGTCTTTCCTTCACACATTTCTTGTCTCGCCAGGTTCCTGGGGACGCACAGGTTTTTCCCACCAATTCCACAGATCAAAGATAAATTGAACGATAGCCATCAAACCGACCACCAGGTACATATGGGGTGGGGGGCAGACCAGGATGGTGAAGAGGGGACAGTGACCCCAGGATCTCAACTGTGTCCACCCAAAGGGGCCCACAGGCTGTGGCTGCCGCCCTGTGTCCTGCTCCCTGGTCTTCTTCAGGGGTCTTACCTGCGAGCTGTGTCCGGGGAGATTGGGTGGGGGGGGGAGGGAGAGAAGGAAGATGGGGAGGGAGAAAGAGAGAGGTAGGGGTCGACCAGATCTCCGGGAGGGGGCAGCTCCCAGAGAGGATGAAAAAGGCCAAGGGGCAAGGGAGACCCCCATATGTGACACCCCCCTTGGGTGCACCCATCGCATCTGCCTCTCCGTGGGGCAGGGGCTACGTCTGCCTACTCCGCTGTCTGGCATCACATCCCCCAGCTCTCAGCTTACTCACGCCCATTCTTGAGCTGGGCGTCTCTCCTCTCAGGAGCACCGACCCACACCCTCTCCAGGTCTCTGGGACCTCCAGGGGCCCGCCCACCCCAGGGGGCCAGCATGAGCCACGTCCCGCTACCCCTGAGCTCCGGGTGGCCCTAGCGTGTGCGGTACCCTAGGCTCAGATGTCCCTCCCCCAAGCTCATCTGCCAGCTACAAGATCTGACGCAGAGGGCCGTCTCTGATTTCTAGCTGAACCCCCCATGGCCACTGCTCGCGGGGCTCCTGACACCCCCACCCTTCTCCCCACCAGATCCTCTGGGAGAAGTTTACACATGACGTGGGAAGAGGCGACAAGGAAGAGGTCTTAGCCGTGGAAGATGTCGCAGAAGCCCCAGCGAATGCATGAATCCAGATGTCTGCATCCCCGGCACTTTCTGGAAGTTGTTGGGGTTTTTTTTACAATTTCTTTTAAGTTTTTTTCAATGTTTTGCTTGATCGTTGTCAATGTAGCATTTTTCTAGCTTTCTCTTCTGTTTTGTTTTGTGTTTTTTACTCTAAAAAATAATGTGATGTATTGCAAAGATGCTTTGTAGTTGGAGGGGTGTTTCGAGGCCCGTGGATCCTGACCACGTAATGCGCCTCCCAGCTGCTCCAGGGAAACACCACCCCTTCCTCACAGGGACGGGTCGGAGCTGCTGCTGGCCGCTGGGGCTGGGATGAGGGTCTGTGCCGCCGCCCGCTTCCACTGGCAGAAGATTTACATCCTCCTTTTTTCTCTACTGGCTGCAGTTTAGAAGGGAATGACTTTCCAGTGGCTGCTCTAACAGGACCACAATTACTGAGCCGACACAGCGGGCGCCTACTCGTTATAGCTTGTAAGCCCTCCTGCCTGCTTCTTATAGGGATGCTTGTGGATTATGTCACACCCACCTGGGTAATCCAGGACCATGTCCCCATCTCGAGATTGACATCCGGGACTTAATCACATCTGTAAAGTCCCTTCTGTCAGAAGGCAACATTTTTATAGGGTCCAGGTATTAGGATGTGGACCTCTTTGGGGACATTATTCTGTCCACCCCACGGTGCCCAAGGAGAGAAGCTTGGTTGAGCGGTCGTGATGGACGAGCTCAGAGCCGCCCTCACTCCTCCGAGTTCGTACCTGGCCCACTAGGCTCTGTGCCCGCTCCCCATACCTGCCCTGTGCATCCCTCCCGTCTGACTTGGATCCTAAGTCAAAACCAGCTGAGTTACATGCTTTATCATAAGCCAGCAAAGTCTTTGTTTTCAATTCCCGTCTTTGCCTGAGTCCCGTGAGCAGTTTTAGCAAATTATCAACCCTGAGGAGGCGGGTCATGGGAAGCCCTGATTTATAGCCAGTCGGTCCGAAGTCCGGGCTGCCCGGGGCTCCCACCTGGGGGTCTGAAGGGAGTGAGGTCTGGAGTCTTGGGGAGCCGGTTGTAGGTGTTGGAAAATGGCCCAGAAGACCGCACACGCCCGCATGAAAGACAGAGCAGCTGAGCATTTTACTGCACGGATGTCACATCTCAAGGGAAATGAGTTATTTATGTCTGTGAGTCTGTTTCTGCTTTGTATATAAAGTCATTTATTTTTTAGATTCCAAAGTGATGATTACCAAAGGAGAAAGGAAGTGGGAGAGGGGATAAATTAAGAGTTTGGGATTAAGAGATCCAAACTACTATACATAAAATCGATAAGCAACAATGATTTACTTTGTAACACAGGGAACAATATTCAACATCTTGTAATAACTTGGAGTGGAAAATAATCTGAAAAATAAAAAAAAATATATGTATATATATATATAACTGAATCACTTTGTCGTACACCTGAAACCAACACAACATTGTAAATCAACTAGACTCCCATATAAAATAAAAATCAAAAAAGAAACTAGGGTCATTCTAAAGGAAAAAATATCCTTCTGCGGCCCCAGTGGTGATCGGCTGCAGCGTCCCAGCCCATCCCCTCCCCGACGCTCAGGCTGCAGGTGCCTGACCGTCTCTGCCACCCGGGAGGCCCGGCCTGGGCCCTCCTGGTGACTGTGTGGTTTGCACAATGGTGCCCCTGTGCTCACACGAGGGGTCAGAGGCTGCAGAGGCAGACTTTCAGGAACTTGCAGGCCACAGCATTGCCCAACAGGATGTGTGAGGCTGGCAGAGCTGGGGTGGTGGGATCGGTCCCAGTGACCCCAGCCGTCTCCCCGGCATCCTCTCCCCGTGGGAGGGCAGAGGGTGAGCATGTGCTTTCTGGGGACTCCTCTCGGGGCAGCTGTGCAGCTGCCTAAGTTGCATCCTTAAATAGGCAGTTGAGGCACTGGGTCAGCAGAGACTGACCGGGCACAGATTCACGCACCAGGCTCTGTCCTAGGGTCACGGGGTGCCAAGGGGCGCTGGAAGGGGGAGACAGAAGAAAACTCCGCCCGCTTGGAACCCTCCTGCTGAGGCAGCCGACCATTGGGCAGCAGCGAAGGACGTGGACGGCGTGTGAATGACACGTTCCGGGGGCAGAGGACTCGGAAACACCTCGTAGCTGAGGGTGAGCTCTCAGCCCCGGCTCGGGGGAAAGGGTTCTCCCAGGAAAAACTAAAGCTGAGCAAGTGCTGGCTCTCGTGGAGGCCGGAGAGGGGTTCCGGCCAGGGCGAGGGGTCTCCACACTCTGCCAGGGCCCAGGGAGCACGGGCAGTGATGGCTGGGTGGGGGGAAATGGGGGCCTCTGGCGGAGACTCCGAGTCTGGATGTGCGGCGGGAGGGCCGCGGTCGGGGGAAAGCACGGACAGTGTCCCGGGGCGGCAGCAGCAAATGACCGCAGACCAGGGGGCTGAACACCACCGGCACCCATCCTCCCCCAGCCCTGGGGACCAGACGTCTGAGGTCAGGTGTCCCAGGGCCGCGCTCCCTGCAGGGGCTCCAGGGGAGGCTCCTTCCCGCCTCTCCCCGCTTCTGGGGGGTCCCGGGGTCCC